AGCAGTTACGTTTCAGCATGTCATGCAAGAAAGAAATTTCAGAGTGTAAATTAAGATATGTGGAGCACAGGTTGTAAGCTCTGTTTAGTAAGCATGTAACAAGGGATAAAGCTATCAAAGTGTGTAAGGAGACCAGTGAACGTCTTTTTTTTTCGGTAAATTGATGTGGAAAATCCATTAGCATTACGGTTAATGAGCATGTCTAAAAAAGGTAAATTATTATTATTTTCAACGTCACATGTAAATTTAATGGCAGGATGTTGTGAGTTAAGGTATTCTAAAAATTTTGAGCATTGATCACTATTATTAAAGAGAATAAAAGTGTCATCCACGTACCTTCTATACAGAACAGGCCTAAAGTCAACTGGGCTCTTATGGCACTTTACCTTGCTACATTTGTAAAAAGCGCCTTTAAGTCAAACTTTCAAGTTTCTTACATTTGAGGTTTAATCCCTTCAATCTATCAATAAAATCTGGCGAGTTTTTTTTTTAGGTGCGAATCACTTATTGTTCCCAGAGTGCCCCATAAAGGTCTTGGTAAACACTTAGCCAATCTGTGTGGAGCAGAACACACGTATGACTGATTGGCCTCATTTGCTTCTTCCAACAACTCTTAACTATTTTTTCCATTCTTTGTCTTGTTTGAATCTTTTTCGCTTCATTATTGAACCGGTTAGCCTCGCATTCTATGAAACTCACATGTTTTTCATCATATGTACTGTTATCACCGAGTCAATTTGTCATTTCTCTTACGTAGTCACTTTTGTTTATTATCACTGCTCAACCTCCACTCAGTTTTCCTACCACTTCCCTGTATCTCCTTGGTATAGTACTTTTCTCTTCCCATTTTAACGCCTGAAAACATGCAGTCACTCCTTGTTTAAAATCTATGTTCACGTCCTTCTCCTCCCACTTATAGTTCTTGTGCACTAACTCCGCATAATTCCTTCATTCGTCCCTGTGTCGAATTTTATGCCTAATGAGAGATCCCGAGTTTCTGTATCCGATAACTGTCTATCCGAGAAATTTAAAATCAAGTCTGACCTTCCTGCTCTGTTTCACTCACTGTTCATACATAGTTGCGTTAATTTTCTTTTTAATCTTTCGCTTTGCATTCGTTTATCATTTTTTCAATCTTCTCATTAAACGTTCGGGCAATATTATATCACTGATATCACTTCTTAACTCCTCTAGTCCCTCATTGAATGGTTTTTCTTTGTTTATTAACTGTTTAGGCTCACACATGGGTAGACCTTGTTCCTCCTGGTAAATCCTGGAGAAATCTTCTACGAAGTACACAACTGGCCAGCTGTCTCCATTTGTAAAACTGCCGCATTTATAGTTCTGGTCTCCCGCCATCACTTGACATGTTGACCCGAATCATGACATATGAGTGCAATATGTTGGAAAGGAAACAGAATGAATCAGGATCTTATTCACTTCTTACGTTTCGACACAAAGCCTTCTTCAGAGAGAATGGTATAAACAGTAAGTAATTTTGGGGCGCTCAGAAAGTGTTGTTTTTCTACAGACCCACAGAGGAATTAAGATTTTAAAACTGCTGGGGGTAGATCTTATGGACTGCAGGGCAGGTATGATACATACCGATATTTAAGCTAGTGATTGGTAGTTTTGTACTCCTTTAGGACAGGGATTAATTCCTAACTAGAATGGGTAAATTGCTGTCTAGCTAATTTGCTACAAAAGCATCCCAGAAAAGCCGCAAAAAGTTCGACATGACGAAAGAAGAGAAGGAGCACGTGTATTTGTTTACACACGTGGTGGTGACGTCAAGCGTTGAAAGTTGTCGATGACGAAGATGCGAGAAGAGACGCTCTACTAAACTGAATCGATTAATACAACAAAACTGACTTTTAACTTTTAAGATATTATATGAAGTTGAAATAACTGAAGAATTAAACTTACAGGATATTAACTGAAGATTTTAATTAAAGGTTTTAGGTAAATAAAAATTACGAGTTAAGCATTCTAGATGCGGTCCTTCTCAGGGCTTGGTATTAGTAAATCCAATCATAATACAAACAATGAAATGAAATGAACTTGGCAGTAATTTTGATTTTTAAATCTCACAAGAGGTTGAGAGACAATCAGGGGCGCTTAGAAAATTCTGTTTCTCTTCAGCCCCACTCGCGAAATTAAGGTTTGGTCATACTGGGAATGAAAATATATTAAAACTACATGTAAGGTATGATACACACTGAATCGCATGAGATAATTTTGAGCATTGGTTTATTGATTATTACTTATTAAGGTGGGTACTCCTAACATACAAACTATTTAAATATTGTGCAGCGTCCAGGAAAAGCCGTAAGACGAGAACGAAGGAAGAGAAGAGAAGGAGAGTTGACGGCTCCACGTGGTACTCACGTGGAGGTGGTGTCGGCAGCTTGAGTATTGGCTCGGCGGTTCTTGACTGGCTGTGACAATGTAGCAAGTTCCTGGATTTGAGAATGGCATGTAATACTATGTAAAGTGATTTAAAGATTAATACTTTGAATAGTAAGTCGATAAAAGAAAGTTTTAAGTTTAATAGTATTAAACTCGAGTGAAAAATTATTCAACTAGAACTTGACATTACATTTAACTTAATTTGAACATTACGTGAGATGACACCTGTTCAGGGCTGGGATCAGAGGATCCAAAAGTTCAAAGGAAAAAAGTAAATTTGCTGTGGTGGGAAACTGGAGTACCCGTAGAAAACCCACTTTCACGGCCAGGGCGCCGAATAATATACCTTGACCGTGCCCGGAAGAGGCTATAATGGAAGAAATACAAGGGTTGTTAGAAGCAAGACATTGTACATAAATAGTAATAAAACACGAGTAAACTTTGGTACAATGATAAGACATTAATTGCCTAAACGGTTGAGTAGGCGTATAAATGGTAATTCCTGTTGACGGTTGGTGGTTGTACGTAATAATCTGTATCACTCTGAATTATTTTGTCACTCTTGGTGGTAACGGTTTGATTCTGCTGGCTAGAAGTTAGAAGGATGTCTGTGGACGTTGTGGAATTAGCTGTAGTGGATCTTGGGGTCTGGGTCTTGACTGTATGCTAACTTCGTCTTTGATGTTGTGGAATTAGCTGTAGTGGATCTTGGGGTCTGGGTCTTGACTGTATGCTAACTTCGTCTTGGACGTTGTCGAATTAGCTGTAGTGGATCTTGGGGTCTGGGTCTTGACTGTATGCTAACTTCGTCTTGGACGGTGCTGAACTTGGTACAGGTGAGTGTCGTTTTCGGCTGCTGGCTCTCTTCTGCGTCAGTCCGGGTAGAGTAGTCCTTGACCCGTGGAATAGGTAAAGCTACATTAGTATCTGATGGAGTTGTGATCGGCGTCGAAGTTCTTGGAGTTAAAATTAGTGGAACGGCAGGCTTGCTGGTCTTATTAAACTCCATTGATGCGTGGGGACGTTCTGCTCTAAAGTGGAAGGAATGAAAGAAACAGCCATTAGTTAAGAAGTGGTCAGCTGCTTGTTTAGAGGTGATTACTACCTTCATGAACTGGGAAGTGAGAGCTGTAACTCTGGATCGGATCCGGTGGACGGTGTGAAGTTTGGACTCAGTGGCTGCTTCAAGGGAATGCTGGATCTCGTCTGAAGAGATAGAAAGATCGACGCCCCTAAGAAAGACAGAGAAGAAGATAGATTAGCTCTTAGTGGTAGAACAGATGACATTAATATCGGCATTCCAGGGATTACATAAATAAGCAAGGTCAGACTAGGTTGAGGGCTGGAGAAAAACTCCGCCTCGTCGAAGGATCCTAGTTTTCGTCGGGTGAGTAGATACTCTCTGGCTTAACTTGGTGGATGAAGGCGATGATTTGTCGAGGAGTAAAGTCAGTCCGAGGGTAATCCATCGACGATAACCGGTTGAACAGGCGTATTTCTCGGCGTAAAACTGGCTGTCGAAGGAGATATCATAGCAGGTATAAAAAAAACTCGTCTGATTAGCTTGGCTACTAGACTCGGAATCTAAAGAAAAGAAAAAAGATGGTACAAACAAATACAGACAGCACATTGTGTATCCTCTCGTGCATGTGCTGTTATGGTAGCAATTGTATATCTTTTGAAGAAACAAGTTAAGCTTGTTATAGAGCTCTATGTTTTGGATAGCATCTTTTGTCACCAGTTCCAACCGATTGGCTACACAGTGTACGATTTTCACTTTGGGCTAATTCTGCTTTAACTTGACAGTAACTCCATCTCTCACTCCCTGCATGACGGAAGCTCCATCACTGGCAAACCCAACAAGCTTTCTGAAGGTGTCTTTGGGTTTTAAGACACACTGCTACTTAAACGCCTTTAGGATTGCATCATAACAGTTCTCTGCAGTCGCTCTGGGTAGTGTTTCCGTAAAGGAATTTGTTTGAACAGCTGTATTGGTTGAATATCTGAAAAAAAAAATATATTGTGATCACTCTAGGGTTCTTTTGCCACTTCATTTGTTACTCTTGGTGTTTTCATACAAAGATTTGAGGAAAATCATTGAACTGAGAAATGAATAATTTCTTAACCCATATAAAAGACTTACCTGATGGGTGAAGAAGGGGTTAAACCTCTTAGCTCCATTGTTTAATATTGGTCCCTAGCTAATTTATAGAAAAGCACCATTAGCCCCCCCCCTCTAATAAAAATATTTAAATAATAAATATAAGAAATTCCATATATTTAATTTTAAAAAAGGCCCTACATTAATAAGGCCTGTTAAATAATAGTTCCTTTATCAGATGTTGTATTTTCCTCTAAGGCCAATCATTAATCCTAAAATTGAACCTCTTAACAAAATCTACTTGATGATGAAAACATTGATTCAAAAAATAGAAAGGAAAGTTATGAAATTAGTAGCCTACCTTACACAAATAATAAGCTGTTCTAGAACAGCAGCGTCTGTCGCTTCATCACAAATGATTGACACTCTTGATACTCATTTTAATTTTCTGCTGTTCTTCTTCGCTTATTGCTGTAGTGAATTCCTTGCATTGTTTGTCTGTTCTATACAAGTTTTCAATTGGGACTCCCTTTATCTCATCTAATTGGCAGATCCAGATAAAGTCTGTAAAGGGCCTATTGTTTTTTGCAAGAGCATGAGTGTTTCTGAAGAGGTAGCCAAGGTTTTCAAAGACTTGCTTATTCATTTGCTGTAGCATCCTTTTAGCTTGTGAGGATCCATTTGGTGCTGACTTAGCACCAAGTGCATCATTATGTTGTTGGCTTATAGAATGCTTTGAATCCTCTCTATGTGGTGAGAGCTACACTCTTGAACGAATATTTGATTGGATAAACCATGTGTTTCACAAGTTTTACAGAACATAAGTTTCCTTTCTGCATCATACCACAGTCAGGATTTGAAATTGGAATTTGTCAGCTGTGACTGCTAAAATGTTTACACACGCTTATCCTTATATCGTGTCGAATTTTCCTGAACCCTTTGTCTTTTTTTTCAGGTTCCTTAACAGATGCCAAGTGACACCACAGTTTAAGGAGTATATAAATGGGAGGCCGTATAGGCTAGGCGTTTAGTTCGACTTTAACATTAGTTACAAATAGATTTATTTAAATCTAGGTATGCAGTCACGAGTGGATTACACAAGTCGTCAATTCGAGGAAGTTTACAGTTAGAATATAAAATTGTCTCGGAGACTGAGATTCAAAAACACATATAATCTTTTAATGTAAATTATTAAGATACACGGCAACATCGAGATTACCGAAAGCATCTTGGAAAGCTTCAATACTAAGTTTACTAAATTCTTCAGTCTGAGCAGGTAACTGTTCTTTTAATAGACTTTCAATAATACACACTAAATTCCTTACTACAACCAGTAAATTATCTATTACAACATCACATGAAATACGCTCAGAAATACTTTACTTTATGAGTTTTCCCTTAACATTGTACATCAATTCCTAAGTACGTTATTCGACTGAGAGAAGTAGCAATGAATACTTACATGGAACTTGTACAGAAAGTATTTTCGATATTATGCAGAAAAGACATCTTCAACGATGATGATTGTTCAGGGATGGCAGGGTCTGGCAACATCTAGCAGGAACAGCCATGGAGACAGCAGCTTCTTTCTCAACATCAGAGGACTGCACTTTCGATCAAAAACATGACTTTTTTATACACAATTTAGTATGTTTTTACAATGATTCAAGTAGTTCTACATGCTTATTTTGAAAGCAGATCTTTTGTCACATTGGTCAATTCAAATGTTTTACCAATCCACAACCAAAACTGTCTGTTAATTGGTTTATGGTCAAGAGCTGTAAATTGGCCACCTATATGCATGTATTTCTCCTGGGCTTCCTTCTGATCAAAGTTCTGCCAGTGGTCTTTTATGTTCTTTTTATAGAAGCTAACATAAACTTTCTCGGAGCTTTTTCTCAGGTACTGATGTGTTTGTTTGTGTTGGTAAAACAAACTGTTGGTTCATATTACAGCCTGGAATGCATCTTAGTTTATACTCAACGTATACATTTCATTTCTTGGTCAAGCATCGTTATTTACCTTTTCAGGGGCATTCGTAAAGAAGCACAGAGCTGCAGCTTGTCCAGGATAGAAAGTTTAGTGACCAGAACAGTATTATTAGACAATCACAAAAGCGAACTTTCCCTGACATTTTCATCCCCTTTTGGTGGGTTGTACCAACATTTGTCTTATATAAAGTGCAACCTTTTAAAAAAAATGGACCAAAAGATGTTTTTGTGTGGGTTAAAATTTTCGAGTTTGTAGTTAGGGAATTTACTGATGATTTTGGTGTGTAGTGTGGGCATGGATAGGTGGAAAGTAGACTGTGATGCTGTTTTGAGTAAGGGTCTGTTCCAGTCATCCAATTGTCAACACAGGGGTGGGGGTAAGTTGGTCATTCGAGAAAGTTTTTAGTCTCAGAATACTGTTAAGATTCAGTGATGGGAGAGAGATAGTTTTCATTCTTTCAGTTTTGATAAAGTCCTCTGACCTTAAGATTATCAGTTGCCTCAAATTACCTTCTATACCTATGTGCCCTCTGATGGCCAGATCTTGATGTAAAAGCCAATTTCAGACTATATAACTGCTTGAGCAGATTATCCCTGTGATCAGCTCAACATTGTAGCACACGAGTACTTAGCTGTGCAGTTATGTCAACAAATGGTTACATAATTCTCGAAAATATTATATGTATATATACTACAAAATGTGTTTTTGATAGTCAATACACCCAATGAACTTACTAGTATCTAACACAAAAGTAAAATATTTATATAATTTGTCAAGATCGCTTTTAATTTCATATTTATCATTAGCACCACCATCCACCAGAAAGGTCATGACATTGCACTATTTAAGAATTTTATCAGTCACTCTTGTTACAAATTCCTGAAATCTTTACGTTCATTTAATATATTGCAATGACTTGTGAATACACTATCAAAGCTACCTATTCAAGAATTTTAAAATTGAACTTCATTTTAAGCGGTAATTAGCCCTATCAGTAGGTGATAGATTAATATCTAACTTATGACTTGCTAGTACTATAGTGCAGCAGATAATCGAAAAATCGTTCAGATTGTGATAAAAGCACCAAAGTTTCAGGAATTGTAGGTTAAACTATAACAATACAACACAGATTGGAAGCCATCAAATTCCTTATTTTATCATAGTGAAACTCCCCCTGCCCCAAACTCCACCCCACCAGAACAAAATGAGTCAAAATTGACGAGATTTGTATATCTAATTTCAATATTTCTGGGGTATTTGTCAACATGACTTGAACCAAATAACCAAACAATAAATACTTGCTTCAACTGCATGTATAATAAAATACAAATTATCTGACACCATGTCAGTGTTCGTGTCTAAAGATAAATATATATAATCAGTGTACTCATGTGGGACAAAGCAGCCATCATAACAAATTGGAATGCAATAATTCAGTTTTTACATCTGGTATATTGTACAGCACAAGCACACAAAGCTGTACAACTCAAATTCACCTTACAACACTTGCAGAAACCACGACGTGTTGTTCTGCGTCCACAGTCGATAAGTTCGAAACAAGCTTCAGTTTTCACATCTGGTACATTGTACAGCACAAGCACACAAAGCTGTACAACTCAAATTCACCTTACAACACTTGCAGAAACCACGACGTGTTGTTTTGCGTCTACACTCGATAAGTTCGAAACAAGCTTTACTGGATTTCAGTAATAATATTCACTTTGGAATCCATCGCATGAAGTCTGTTCCCAACCCCACTTTGTCGGAGAAGGAAGATCTCAATTTGGGTGCAGTGTTTGGCTCCAGACATATCCAGCCTGAAATGCAACTCTCTTTAAATGCTCGGTCAGCACCCCTTTTGTTGATGGGATGTTCTCATTCCTTTAATTAGGTTCAGCAGTGAGATGTATTTCTGCCAGGAAGATGGAGTAGTGGCTATGGAAAGGAAGGTACTGAAACGAGATGTATATTGATAACCATTGGGCTGTTTGGATGGATTTGTTTTGTTGCAGCTATACTTTATTGTAAAGGTTATTTGACGTATTGCATGTTACTGCACAGTCATATTGTATTAGTGATTTGATGTAATCTTTATGTATTATCATTATTGATTGATTATTGCATCTTAAATTGGTACTTCCGACTTGTTGGAAACAGGCATGTATTTTGACATGTTATTCACATGATCTTTTCTAGTGAGGTTTTTGTGTAGAGTTGGACCTAGGAATTTTACAATAGCAGTAAACTTCATTGTGGTGTCATATTATTTTAACTTGGTTTCTAGTTAATACTTCTACAGAAGATTATTGCTTGAGTTTTGGTGGGGTTAAGATTTTCTTGCACTCATGTGAAATACTCCAGACAGTGACGTCATCAACATATTGAGATGCCAATGTGATAGTTAATAGGGGGGGGGGGACATGTTGTTTATGAAGAGAACATAAGATAAAGGGTTGATTCTTGTAGAACTCCTGCTTCTAGTGGAAATGGCCTTAAAATTACATTATCAACTTTCATTTTTGTGACCCTGGTAGAGAGAAAACTTGAAATATGGTTTTTAATAATCTAACTAGATGATCAGTGGGTTAATTGTTTTTTGTTTTTTTTACCTGCATTTTTACGTTATTTTATTATATATGTAATTATGAAGTCTGTTGGTAAATATGTTCTTCATGAGTTTGCCTTTTGTATTAAGCAAACTTATTGTTCTGTAACTGCTTTTTTTCATAGGGATGACTTTGTTTAAGGGAAATTTCCAGCTTTGGGATAGTAACCAAATTGAATCGACGGTTTAAATAATGAGGCGAGGTGTAAAAATGACTCTTTTGGAGATACTTTTAAGAATCTTTTTCTGAGGCTGTGTTTTTCAGTTTCTTGGTGTTAATTTTAATTTATGTTGTGGAAATTAAACGTGAGTAAATCTTGTAGTAGTTGTGATGGTTATTGTTACAAAGCAAGCCTGGAAACATGGGACTGAATATATGCTTTATATTTAGACGTGTAGGTTAACGTTTGCAAAATGTTATGTGTTGAAAGAGGGTATATTGGGTGTTCTAAATGTAGAGTTATTTGTGAACAAGTGAACTGACTTTGGCCATGAGAATAATGAAAAGAACAGGGCAGAATATGGCTTTATTCAACTAAATCAAATATATCAGAAATGATGGTGTCAAATAACATTCACTCTAACAATTCAAGTGCCATCTGCAGTTTTAGAGTATAAGGTAACAATATATTATTAGGTTAAACATAAAATAATAATTACAAAATATTCACAACATTTACCCTGCCTTAAAAAAATCGTAGATGTCAGAAAAAGAAACATGCGAGACATCAACATTACATGAACACCCTACTATAAGTTCAACCATCAGAAGGCTTCCTATTATGCAGCGAACGACAGCAACAGGGTGCTTCTTCTGTCATATTTTGACGTGCATTATCATTAACGACCATAGGTGCTTCATTAGGAACCTTGCAAATGTCCCCACTTGAGGGACTAGGTGATGGGACGCAGGTGTCATTAGCCATTTCCGTTTTTGTCTCTTCTGAAGGTGTAATGACCACAGGTTTCACAGTAGAATGAATATCACCTTGTGGTGCTAAATATCTAACAGAAACTGTAGTTTCCCTGTTGTCTGCGAGACGAACATGTGCATATTTCGGATCCAAAATTTGGACTTCATCCACAAAAGGCTCTTCCTTATGGTGACACACATCTTTTATGAAGAGCTTTGCCTGGCACCACAACCCAAGTTGGTATCATACTGCCACTGGATAACAGTGATCGAATGGAATGTAGAGCGCCGAGAAGTATCACCTCCCATTAGGAGATATCCAGACCTCTGTACTTTACTGCCAGAATTATAGCTTTCCAGATAATAACATTGTAGCACTCAACTTGACCATTTTCTTGTGGGCTATATGAAGTGGTAAGACTAGTAGTGATTCCTTTATCATGAAGGAAGTTCCTAGGCTCAGATGACAAAAAATATTATCCATAGTCACTATGTATGTACCGAGGCATGCCAAAAATCGAAAAGAGCTGACATAAAGATCTGAGCACTGAAGCAGACGACAAGTTAGGACAATGGAATGTGAAAGGGAATCGTGAAACTCATCAATGATTACGAGTAGATGTCTGTTTCTAGTTGCAGATGGTAGAGGACCTTTAAAATCTATATTAAGTCTTTCAAAGTGCTGAGAAGTTTTGATCAGCTGAGCTTGTGGAGGCTTGGAGAAAGTAAGCTTTATCTTAGAACATATCGAACAAGAGATAATCATTCTCCTAATATCTACAGAATACGGAAGGTTCCTGCAACAGATGAAGTGAGCCATTCTCTTATGCCAGGATGACTCAGAGAATCATGAAGTTTATACAGTGAGTCGGTATTAATAGCTGAGCAATGACTCCATGAAAGTATATCAGCAGCCACGTTGCACTTACCAGGTCTATAGATGATATTGTTGCTGTATGATGACAGTTCAAGATGCCATCTTATGATCTTCTCATTCTTTATCTTTCCGGCCTCTTTATTGTTAATGCTACTGATTTTTAGTCTGTCATGAATTGAAAATAGTGTCCAAGAAGGTAATGCTTACATTTATGCCAATAGA